CAGTTCCCTCAGCCTCCGCCAGGCCCTAGACTGCACATCTGGCAACCTCCACACCAAATGATGCTTATGCAGGGTCTCTGGATGTAAGAGGCATATTTTGCATACATTAAAATAAAAACTAAATAAAAACCTACAGCAGAAAAGTCCCCAGGGCATGACTTTAAATAGTAAAAAGCACCTGTGGTTCTTGGAAACGGTATAATTCAAAGCTGATGTCTGATAAGAAATCAGCAAAGTATGTAAACGAGGTAAATCTCTACTCCAGCTGCTGAACAGAATAAACACTGCTTCAGCAAATGGTTGTCACACAGGATCTTTCCAACAAGGCATCTGTGCAAACACCAGCTATTCCCAGCAGTGCCTGCTAACAAAGCACACTGAAGAGTCAGCCCCAGGATTCAGCCTCTCCTGCCTTCCGCTGCACTCAAACCCACAGTATGGTCATTGCCCACGAGAAGGCTGTCTCCCCCCAACACTGCCCCCCCACCCCCAGGCAGGGACCAACCAATCTTTCTTGCAAAACCACCAGCAAAACCAACACACAGTCCCCCATCCTCCTGTGGCTTGGCTCCCAGTGACTGGTATGCTGACAAACTGGATCAGCCAGCGTACAGGGATCTGGAATCCAGTGTCCTAGCCCACTCTCCTCTGCCCAAGGGCTTCTGGGAGCCAGAGGAGCTAAGACCAGCCTGGGCCTGTCCCACAGGAGTTCAGGGAAGCAAATCCAGGTATGAGCTGCACAATGATTCGCAGGAGTTTCTGGGCCCCAGACACACCCAAACAGGCCCATAGCTTGTACCCAGCATGGGCCTTGCAGGAAACACTGTAGTCCACTGTGCCACCAACCAAACCCGCAACTACCCTGTGGGATACCTGCGCCTTCTTCCCCCAGTATGGGCTGCTCTGGAGGACGCGACCATCAACAGGTAAGCCAGAAAAGGCTGGTGACTGAGGAGTCCACTATATATCATGGCACTAAGCAGGGGAGGCCCCTGGCCTCTCACCTCAGCCCAGAGTGTGCTCTGACTTCTGGCTCTTGGCTCTAGGACAACAGCGCTCTGCTTCCAAGAATGCCTGCCAGGGCCGGGGATTTAGCGCAGTGGTTCCAATGCCTGCCCCACAAGCGCAAGGACCCGAGTTTCATCCCTGGTACCAAAAAAAACAAGAATGCCTGCCATTCCTGCCTCCTCCCGCCACACACACACACACACACGCACGCACGCACGCACGCACGCACACACACACACACACGCACACACACCCTCCCGCATGCCCGGGATCCAGTTGTGAGATTTCTCTTCACCACCCCATCAACTCAGCACTCCCAGGTGGCAGGGCCCCACCCACTCCAGGGCAGGCAGGAGGGAGGGAACAAGCGGCAGGAGCCCGATCCGGGAAAAGGCGAGGCACACAGGAAAAGCCAGTTCGGTGTTTCTGCCTCAATAGCAACTGGGGAGTCACTGCACATCTGTCAGCCAGTCTCACGGAAACGACTGGCAGCAGAGTCTGAACTGTGAGGCCAGGAGCTTGCTGACCTGCAGGGTGAGCTTGGGTCTGAGGCCACAGCACACGGAGGAAGAGCATGGCCCAGCCGTGCCTCTGCATGGCTCCAAAACTCCTCCAGAAAGCTCCAAGCTCTTCCCCACACCCATGCTGAGCACTGTTGTGACTCCCAGAAGTAATGAGACCAACCTGAAAATAATTTCTTCACATACCCCTGCTCCCTTCAAAGACACCTGACCGCCAGCCCGTCTGGCCCAGGCCCTGTGAGATGAGCCGAATGGTACAAGCACCACCTGCTAGAGAGGCCAGCACCTCCTGCCGCACGGCATCAGAATCTCCTGGGGTGGGTTTGCTCTGAGACAGGACCTCCCTATGTAGCCCAGGCTGGCCTTTAACTTGTGACCTTCTGGCCTCAGCATCCCAAGGGCAGGGATTACAGGTTTGTATCACCACACCTGGGTACCTGAGGTTTTTTTAAATACCAGGGTAGGGGTCGAGGATATAGCTCAGAGGTGGAGTGTTTGTCTAGTATGTAGGAGGTCTTAGGTTCAATCCCCAGCCAAAAAAAAATTTTTTAATAATTTGTTTGCTGAACTTGTAGCTCAGAAGTATAGCACTTGCTTCATCCACAAGCCCTGGGTTCAATCCCTAGTATCCAATAAATAAATGAATAAATAAAAAGCCAGGCATGGTGGTGCACACCTATAATCTCAGCACTCTGCAAAGCTGTGAATGGAGGATCACAAATTCAAGCCCAGCCTGGGTAACTTAGCAACTTAGTGAGACCCCATCTCAAAAATAAACAATCAATCAATCCCTGGAACCAAAAATAAAGTGAAACAAAATACAAAATAAAATAAAACCAGGTTGAAACAGGAGTAGTAGCACATGCCTACATTCCCGAAATCAAACCCCCTAGAAGGTTCAGGCAGGAGTTCACGGCTAATCTGGGCAACTCAGGACTATCTCAAAATTTTTTTAAAAATTTAATAAAAGGCTAGGGATATAGTTTAACAGTAGAGCACTGGCATGCACAGGGCTCTGTCAGTGATGGTACACCTATGGCACATGTGCCGAAGCCAGCCTTTTATTACCACTGAAAGCTCTAAAAGGTTCAGCACCATGGCACCTAGGTTCAATTCCCAGTATAGAAAATAAACTAATTAATTAATTTAATTAAAATGCCAATTCAGGGCCAGGGATTTAGCTCAGTGGTTTCACCACATGCTGCCCAAGCGCAAGGACCCAAGTTTGATCCCCGGTACCAAAAAAAAAAACAAAACCCAATTCAGCTGGGTGAAATGTTCCACACCTGTAGCACTAGGGAGGCTGAGGCAGGAGGATTGTGACTTCAGAACAGCCTGGGCTACATAGCAAGTTCCAGGCCAGCTGGGGCTATATACAAAGACCCTGTCTCAAAAAAATAATGAGCCAGGCATGGTGGCGCACGCCTGTTAACCCACCACTCAAGAGGCTGAGGCAGGAGAACTGCTGTGAGTTTGAGGCCAGCCTGGGCTACACAGTGAGTTCAAGACCAGCCCAAACTGCACAGTTAGACCCTGTCTCAAAAAAGAAATTAATTAATTAACTAAATGAAATAATAATAGCAGGTTAAGTTCAAAATCCACAGAGCTAGATTTAGGTGTATGATGGGCTTTGGTAATTTCTTAAAAATCATCCTCGTTGAAAACCCCGGTTTTAGTCAGGTGTGGTGGCACATGCCTGCGGTCCCAGCATACTCTGGAGGCTGAGATAGGAAATCTCTGAGTCTAGGAGCTCAGGACCAGCCTAGGCAACATAGTCAGACCCCATCTCAAAAAAAAGAGAAGAAAATAGGGGCCGGGCATTTAGCTCAGTGGTTCTGGCACCTGCCTCACAAGCGCAAGGTCCCGAGTTCGATCCCCAGTACCCAAAAAAAAAAAGAGAAGAAAATACTCTTACGACCAAAAGGCACTGATATGTACCCATGACAGCCTCAGTGTTACCCAGAGAGAAAGAAGAGCTACACACAGAAATCACAGCCCAGCAGCCCCAGATGTTTTCTACACCTTGTCAGGCACAGAACCAGCCCCACGCCAGGTAAGGGAGTTCCTGGACATGCTCATCTTGCCAGAGGTGGGAGCACACACCAACAAGGGACTCTAGGGGACTGCCAAGCATGAGGCTGGGTAAACCTGGGACCTCAGGCATGCTGGACAAGTGCTCTACCGTAGAGCTACACCCTGGCCCTTTCTATCCTGAAATAGAATCTCACTAAATTGTTCAGGTTGGCCTTCATTTATAATCCTCCTGCCTCAGCCTCCCAAGGAGCTAGGATTACAAAGTCTATACCGCCACACTTGGCTAAGCACAAGGTTTCAAACACACCGACCCATATCTCAGGAAGGTGCTCCTGAGGATGCGCCCCACCTGGGCTCTACTGAATGCCTGAGACAATAACTATGCAACTCAGACTCTGATTCATTTCCGCCACAGGTCTGTCCGTCAAGTGTCTGGGGCTTCCATTAAGTGAAAACTGTACATGGATACAGAGCTTCCATTTTTTCAATTTTAGGGGGAAGGTGAAGATCAGCATACAAAGAAAAAGGCAGCAATGGTGAGGGAAAGATAAGACAACCGGGCTGTTTAATGCTAAACCAATGATCCCCAAGGAACTCTGCAATGCCAACAAGCAGGAGCTTCATGATGGAGATAAGACTAAGACCTGTCCTTGCCCTGCATTTTAGAAGACATTACATGCACCACATTTGTTTTGTTTTGTTTTTGTTCTGATACTGGGGGCTGAACTCAGGGCCTTCACACTGAGCTACAGCCCCGGCCCTTTTCTATTTTGAGCCAGGTCTCACTAGGTTGCTAAGCGGTACAGGGTAGACTCAAACTTATAATCCTCCCTCTTTGTCCTCCCAGAATGCTGGGATTATAGGTCTGGACCACCACATCGACCTACCACATTTTTTGAAAACCACCACCAAAATGATTTCTGTAAGTTTTTGGTGTATAAAAGGGAGATTTTAGCCAGGTGTGGTGGCACATGCCTATAATCCCAGCACTTGGGAGGCTCTGGCAGAAGGATCAGTGAGAGTGAGGCCAGCCTGGCCTACATAGTGACTTCAAGGCCAGCCTGAACTGCAAAGTGAGACCCTGTTTCAAAAAGGGGGGGGAAGGGTAAGCTCAGTAGTTCTGCCGCCCGCCTCACAAGCACAAGGTCCTGAGTTTGATCCCCGGTACCAAAAACAAAACAAAACAAAACAAAAAAGGGGGTGATTTATACAACTAAAATTTACTTGAATAGGACAGCTCTTGCCTCTCCAGGATGCATGACCACCGTGACATTCTGAGAGGGCTGCTGAGGACAAATGGGAGGGAGGGCAGCCAGGACTCCCCCTAGGCACAGATAGGTCCTTCACTGGTGCTGTCAGCCCAGCCAGCCTGGGCCCTGCCAATGAACCAGAGCTGCCCAGGCGGGGAAGGGAGGAACCTTGCTGACCACTGCATACCTTTGGCATGAAACGTCCAGCCCCTCCGCCAGTACTCCTGTAGCTGGACCCGCTCCTGCTGCCCCAGGCTGCACACCTCACTGTAGAACTGCCGCTCAATGTGTACATAGGCTGCTGGGATGGCACCAGCCACACCCTTGGCCCCAAAGAAGCCATTCACCTCTGGGGAGGCCAGCAGGATCTGGTACTTGACCCACGTGCCCAAGACCAGGTCCATGTAGGCCTGGGTCAGGTTGAAGTAGCCAGTGGTGAGGTAGACCCTGGCACCTTGCTCGGCCTCAGTCAGCAGGGTCTCAGTGACAATCTCATCAATCTGGATCTCGAAGGGCTTCATTTGGATCAGCGGATAAATCCAGGTATCAGGCGCTGGTCTCCGATCACCAGCGGCCGCTGCCTCTTCCTGGGTCAACAAGGAGTCACTATGGAAGGTCTGGGCATGCAGCATCTGCTGCCGTGTTCTGGCTGAGTGGATCACATCCATGACCCGCTTATTGGCCGCCTTGCAGTAAGCAGCCCGGTCACCTAGAGGGACACAAGAGAAAGAGAAGACAGAGAGTCAGGACACTGCCAGCTTGTGCATGTGACAGGCAAGTGCCAATGCTTTAAGGGATCTCTTGAGAAGCACATGCACAGTGAGCTCAAGGAACTGAGCCCTGAGCAAGCTTCCCCCAAGGGGACTGCTGCCCTGACCAAGAAACCTGCCCACAGCGCCCGTTCACAGGGAGAAGGGAAAGGACACATCTAAACATGATTCCAAACGCAAACAAGATGAATTCAGGGTAACAGAAGTCAGGATAGTGGTTGCACCCCACCCCTGGAAAGGACTGCAGGGGCCTTGCAGAGAGCGATCCACCATGAACAGGAACATGAGCTACATCTCTGTGACTGGTGTTCGGTATGCAGGCTACACTTCCAGGAAAACGTTCATGTAGGGCTGGGGGTGTGGCTCAGTGGCGGAGCACTCGCCACACCTGTACAAGGTCCCAGGTTTGATCCCCAGCACCACAAGTAAACACATGTGTCAACACAATAATAAAAAGGAGTGATGGGCCCAGGCATCCTACTTTCTTGGAGGTGACCCACAGAGTCCCCACAGGCAGGCTCTGGGCTCTAGGTGTGTGCCTTTCATAGCTGGATGGGATACTGGTGACAAGTGCCTCTGTGGACACAATGGAGGGAAAGACACAGCTCCAGGTGCTATTAGCAGACGAGAAAAGACTGGAAATCAGCTGGGCATGTTGGTGCACACCTGCAAGCCCAGCACTCTTGAGAGGCTGAGGCAGGAGGATCACGAGTTCAAGTCCCGCCTTGGTCACTTAGCAAGTAGCAAGATCCTGTCTCAAAACTTAAAAACAAAAAAACATAAGAGAGCTGGGGATATACCTCAGTGCAAAGGTCTCGGGTTCAATTGCTGGTACTTAAGTTAAAAAAAAAAAAAGGCTGAGGATGCAGCTCAGTGGTAGAGTGTGCCTGGGTTCAATTCCCAGTACTGGAAAAAAGGTACAATGGCGATACCTGAGCATCCCAATGGCAGCTAGCAGCTAGCAGCTAGCAGCTAGCAGCTAGCAGCTAGCAGCAATGCCACATGATCACAGCCGTGCTGGGCGGCCACAGCTCCTTGGCACAGGGCAGCTCCTCTACCAGGAGGTCACTCAGATGCTTCCGTGCTAAGTGCACCAGAAATGGGAGCCCTTCTTACAACGTCCAGCTATAACCCCTTGCCCAAGTTGTGGACACTGCTGCAAACTCAGCAGCAGCCCTTTAAGGGCCACAGAAAGCCACAGCCACAGGAATCACAGGAATGCACATGCCCAGGAATGCTGTGCCAGGATTTGCCTGTCTCCAGCGAGCAGAGCTAAGAGCTCTCCCATTTCACTTTCCAGGCAGGACGCCACAGACCTCAATGGAGCTAAAAGCCACAAGGTCTTTGTGATAGGTTCAGGGAACAGAATGAGGAGGGCAGTCACTGGGCAGGCTGCTTCCTGTAAGAATAGGCCAGGCTCCTCTGGCTCATCAGCCGGCACACAGGGCCCAAACCCACACTCCCACCTTCCCGAGCCAGCTCCCCCATGTGACACGTGACTGACAGCCAGGAGTCACAATGATCGGGATTCAGAATCAAAAGCAGAAGAGGAGGGCCGGGGATTTAGCTCAGTGGTTCCGCCACCTGCCTCGAAAGTGCAAGGTCCCGAATTTGATCCCAGGTATCAAAAAAAAATGCAGAAGAGGGCCCTGGCACCCCATCTCCTGCCCCTGGGCAAGGCCCCCCAAAGGTGTGCTCTCATGGCCTTCAACCCACAACCCAAGTGGACATCAGAGCCAGGCCGTACCTTTGTAAGGATGCACCATCCCATCCACCATCTGCACAGTGTTGTCCCCTTGCAGCTGCAGGGACACGTCCCCCACCGCGTCCACCAGCTCTGTAAAGAAGTCAGCGATCTCTGCACAGTCCTGCAAGAACACGTAGCGGTCCTGGCGATTGGTGAAGTAGGAGTCACTCAGGTTTGCACTACAGGGAGGAAGAAGCAGGGGAGGACTCAGGCAAGAGTGTGCATTGCCGTGGCCTGACATCGGGCTTAGGGTAACTGGGAGAGGAATGACAAACTCAGATGAGGACACAGAAGGAACCGGTTAACAAGCGGCTACTGAGCAACATCCACATGCAGGAAACTAGGCGAGACTAGCAGCACTAAGTCACACAAAATATAGACTGCAACCCCCGCCCCCTGCCAGCAGCTGACCACTAAGCTGGCACTCAGGAATCACTCTGGGGGAGGGGACCTCTGAGAGCCCTTGTTCAAGCCAAAAGACCTGGACTTCCGCCTTGTCTGTTTCTGTTTTTTGGACTCTGCCTAAAAGTTATTCAACCTCTCCAACCTTTGTTTTTCCACGTATAAAGTGAGGAAAACACTCAGAGTCACTGTGCGAATTGAGCAAGACACAGGCTTAACGTAGAGCTAACCCCAGGAAGGGCTCAAACAATGGGGCTGTCCTCCCATCAGCCTCTGCGAACTCCAGCTCCCACGGCAGAGAGGGGATCGTGGAGGAGGCTGAGCCTCCACAACTACTACACGGCAGGTCTTGCAAGGCCCTAGAGAATGGGTTGTCCTTTCATCTTGGTGCACAGACTTCCTCCCTAGAGATCATACAGTGAAATCACTGATGGAGGACACAAACTCACCCACTCAAGATAACATTGTTGTCAAAGAGGTATACTTTGATGTGCTGGAGGCCAATGGTCTCGTTGAAGCGCTCAGGGATAAGGAGTCGGAGAAGTCCTCGGAGATTTGGAGTGTGGAAGAGGGAGACTCGGACCTGCTCTGGAAACCTCTGCAGGAGTGGCAGCAGCATTGTGCGTGAGTTCTTCCTGCCTGGATATGAGAGAAAGTGGCCAAAGACTGATACCGGGAAGATGCCCTGCCTGCCAGGAAGGGACCACCTCCACGTGGGCCCCTCTGTTCCTGTGCTGTGTCCGAATGAACACACCAACTGGCGCTGCTACAGCCAGAGGACCTCTGGGCACCTACCGGCCACATCTCAGGGCAGCGTCAGAGTGCACAGGGGAGCAGACACTACTATCTTTGCCACCCAGCACCCACTCCCTCTCCTGGTAGCTGCACCCAACTTTCTCCTAGGGGCACCACACCACCCTCACTATCGGCCATCCTGCTCTGGGTGAGGGTGACTGACCGCACTCAGTCCCAGCTCCACAGAACATGCAGGCTGGAGGGGAGCTGCTCAGAGTACGCCAAGCCCCTGATGACAATTAATTCAGAGCTCGTCCGACAGTTCCCGGCAGCCACTTAGGAGCTCTGGCCTGGCTCCCAGGGAAGCAGACTCTTCTAATGGACAGGGGACACTGGGAATGATGGACGAAGCACACTGGGGATGTGGGCCCCAGCCACAGAGGCCTCCACACTGGCAGGCAGTCCAGGGCCTTGTCTCTGCTGGGCTGGGTCAAGGACGAGGAAGGGGGCCAGGCATGTACAATATCTACCTCTTGAGCCCCTGGTAAAGTCCAGGAGAATGGAGACCTTGAGGTCAGAAGGAAATTGTGCTTGCAATGACTTTTCTAGAGTACTTTCCAGGCAATCCACCTATCAGGAAAAGAACACAGAGGAACAGAAGTAAGGTAAAAAAGATGTGTGCACATTTAAAAAGGCTAATTCGGGCTGGGGATTTAGCTCAGTGGTTCCGCTGCCTGCCTTGCAAGCGGAAGTCCCGAGTTCGATCCCTAGTACCAAAAAAAATAAAATAAAATAAAAAGGCTAATTCGTCAGCTAACACCCTCACCATCCTCTCTGAGCACTCGTATACACACATCACTCAAAAGCTGACACTGTGGGGGCCGGGGATGTAGCTCAGTGGTTTCGCCGCGTGCTGTGCAAGCACAAGGACCCGAGTTCGATGCCCAGTACCAAAAAAAAAAAAAAAAAAAAAAAGCTGACACTGTGAAAGCTCTGCAAGAGATGTCCCGGGAACGACAATCAGGAAGCCTCTGAAGCCTCTGAAGCCTGGACCTCAGAAGACTGAACAGAAGCTGCATCTCGGCAGCCTGGGCCTTACCACGCTCTTAGAGACTCTCTCTAAGACACCAGCTCCCACACATACCAACAGACAGATAATCCTCACAGATACACAGCAAACAGTGCCCTATGCATGGAGAGCACTCGGCAAATATTGGCAGGCGAGTAAATCCAAGACGCAACCTGCCCACTGGGCCTACTCCATGGGCTGGACGCTAAATTCCTCTCCCATAAACACAGCACGTGGCTGAGAGTACGACCTGGAAGCAGGGGAGCCCGCCTTCTGCAGAGCAGGAAAGGAGCAGCACGTAGGCTAAGCTGCCTTTCCTGCTGTCTCCACGGCCCAGCCCTCTGTCACTTCCCAGCTCCTACCTGTGAGTTCTGAGCATCAACAAACCAAAAGGCAACACTCACCTGGGCAGCAGGCCCACTTTCCTCCCTCCCCCAGAAAGCTGCCCCAGAGGCCAAAGTAATGACCTCACTCCAAACTCCCTTCACTTCACATGCTGCTGTGACAGCAGAGCCTGCTCTAGATCCCCTGAAAAAGCCTGGTGACTTAAGCTCCTCCCTGCCCCTGCCTGCCTCATGGTAAGTGGCAAGCCACCCAGTCCAGACAGGACAAGACTGGCCCAGACCTGGCACCCAGTGCCACCCGTGGCAAACCCAGCCAACTGGCCAGCCCGACCTACATTTGGGTTCTAGCACAGGGTCAGAAACCTTTTGCTGAAAAGGGCTGCAGAGTAAACATTTCCGGCTTTGTGGGTGAGAGTCTTGTACTTCTACACAGTTGCACTGTTGTCTCCTGAGAGCAGCCGTGGACGATACACAATGCTGAGTGTGGCTGTGCTCCAATAAAACTTTATTGATGGATACGGAGATGTCAATTTTGTATACTTTACATGAATCACAAAATAGTCTTTTCCTTGGCTTTTTCCAATCATTTGGAAACATGTAAGTCATTCTTAGCTGAGAGGCCTTATAAAAGCAGTCAGTGTGGGCCAGGTACGGTGGCACACACCTGTAATCCCAGCACTTGAAAGGCTGAGGCAGGAGGATCACGAGTTTGAGGCCAATCTGGGCCACACAGCAAGACCCTGTCACAAAACAAAACAACAGCAACAAAAGCAGCAGCAGGCCAGACTGGGTCTGAGGGTTGCCATCTGCCAAGCCTTACGTTGGTAGACAGAATGGCCCAAAAGCCCTGTGCAGGGAGAGAAAGACATTGGCCAGCACCTGATGAGGCCTCCTCACGTCCTCCTGAGCTACCCCACAGCTGGGCAACAGGGGTAAGAGCTGTCTGTGAGACAGAGGCCAAGGAAAGGAAGCACTGTGCCTGCAGCCAAGTCACAGGCTCAGCTCAACTACCCTGTGTCTTCCCCGACAATATCCAAAACAAGCCAAAGAGCATGGCGGCACACACTGTCATTCCAGCACTTTGGTCTGAGGCAGGACTGAAAACTCAAGCCCCACCCAGGCAGCTTACTGAGACCATGTCTCAAAGCATTAAAAAAGGGGGCTGAGGATGCACCTCAGTGAGAAGGCCCCCAGTTCAATCACCAGTACAAAAAAAAAGCCCAGGGCACTATGCAGCGGCAATGTTTTAAGGCCAATCTGCTCCACACGAACCTTACCAGTTCCTGTTCCAAAGGTCCTACGCCCAGATAGAGAGACGCCATCACAACCCGCTTCTTGGCTACTTTTATCTGCCCCTAAAAGAGAAACAATTCAAAATTTACGTCTGTCATTTTCATAGTTCAATGAAAACACGTGATCCTTCAACCTTGGAGACAAATTATACTCTAAGCTGAGCTACCCTCTGTCTTCACCAGTTAAAATTTAAATGAAGCCTAAACTGTACATGGTAACTTACTACATAAAGACTCCCAATCCTAGTTCTCAATATTCAGCCCTCAAAGTAAGGCACCCTGCAGCCCTACTACAAGAGGAGAGGCAGCTATATAAAAGTCCAAAGATGTGTGTGCACGTGAATGCCCACGTAGCACTGCAGGAAGACAAAAGCAAATCCCTGAACAGAGTGCAAACCATGCCCCCTGTTCACATTGAACCCCGAGCACAAGGCTGAGCACGTGCCTGTGTACATGTATGTCTGCAGGAGCATGGAAACACGCGCCACACTGCTAAAGGGTCCCCAAGGAGCACAGCAGGCAGGAAGGGGAGCCCGGGTATATTCTGCACCCTTTCCACCATCTGCACAGCTGAGCTGTTTATAACCAGCAGGAGCCACTTTTGAAATGTAGACAGGGACACAGAAACATAAACAGAACACAGCGACACCCAAAGGTGACACGGCACGAAGATATCCCTGGCCCCATAGATATAGCGAGGACAGAAAGAACAGTGCCACCATAAGTCAACCCCAAGCATACAGAGTGAGGTGACAGGGAGGGAAGCACACGTGACTCAGGCCACTTCTCTATCCAGAAGGGATGTTGTTGGGTGTTACTTGGGAGGCCAAGGCAGAAGGACAGCAAGTTCAAGGTCAGCCTGAGCAACTTAGCTAGACCCTGTCTTAAAAATAAAATTTATAAAAAGAGCAGAGGCTACAGCTCAGTGCTACAGCACTTGCCTAGCATGCACAAGGTCCTGGGTTTGATCCAAGTACTGCCAAAACCCTCACTGCTAACCTTCCCCTATCCTTCTACCTAGCTATCCCTCCCTCCCCAACTCCTTCTAACTCTCCATCCTGAAGGGTAAAGTTGCTATATTGAAGAGTTTATTCACTATAAACATAGGTTGGGCTGGTCCTCGATTTTGATCTAATTCACACAGTTAAAGGTGATAGATTAATAACTACCACAAACTGTCATTTTCTAAGAGGTACTTGATGCTATGGTGTTGCTGATTGTATCACTTGGGCTAAGGTGTTGTGATTGATCTAATCAGTTGTCCTTCCTGGTATAATGAAAATGAGACAGCCTCAGAGCCAATAGAGACTCAAAACCTAAAGGCCAGCTATACCTGGAAGACACCTCTGAGAAGCAATCATTCCATAAGGGTTCTAAATACATCAACAAAGATACTTACAATAAGCAACTTCGAAGTATCAACCCAGGAACTAAACCAAGGACAGTACCAAAAACAAAAATGAGAAGATATTTAAGCAAGGCACAAACTCAGACTTCCACCCCACAAAAGGCAAATCCTGGGGGAAAGGAGGTGGAAAAGTCTGATAATCAACCACCTGGACACCCTGAACTGATAGCACAGGAAGTAACAAAACAGATGAATGAGGCTCTAGAAAAATTCAAAGCAGAAATAATCTCCCAGATAACTACAGAGATGGTGAGCAGAATGAAAGACATGATTAGAAGCTCTAGAACAGAAACAGATAAAAAAAAAATAGATGAGATCAGAAACATGCTGGAAGCCATGAATGCACAGCATAAGAAAGAAATGGAATCCATGAAACAGAGTCAAACAGATATCTAGGAGATTAAAAACTCCATTGAAAGTATGCACAGCAGATTAAGGGACTGTGAAGATAGAATATCAGGTATAGAAGGCTGGATTGAGGTTAATGACCATGAAAACAGAGATTTCTTAAAAATAGTAAGGGACCATGAGACATCAATCCAGAAGCTACTAGATGATGCAAAGAAGAATAACAAGACTGACAGGAATCCAAGAAAAAACAGGAGAAAGTACAACTGACATAAAAAAACTATTCACAGGGAATTTAGCTCAGTGGTTCCGCCACCTGCTTTGCAAGCGCAAGGACCCAAGTTCGATCCCCGGTACCCTCCCCCAAAAAAACTGTTCACAGAAGTAATAGCAGAAAACTTCCCAGACAGAGGTGGAGAACTAGACATACAGATAAGTGAGGCATATAGAACTCCAACTAGCCACAGTCAAAAAAATCTACACCTAGATATATAATAGTCAAGATCCCAGAAACCAAGTACTGCTAAAAAAAGGAAGAAGAGATGTCATCCCTAACCCACATCATCCACACAGGAAGTTGGGCATCTGTACTACACAGTTGCGTGAATAGGCCACTGGAGAAGCCTTAGGTACATGGACAAAACAAAACTACAACCCAGGTTGCTATTCCCTTTGCTTTGTTACCTATTAATAGATGAGAAGCCAGGTGTGATGGTGCATACCTGTAATCCCAGCACTCAGCTGAGGCAGGATCATGAGCCTGAACTACACACCAAGATCTTGTCTCCAAAAGAAAAACTGCCACCGATGCCTGCCCCACAAGCACAAGGACCCGAGTTCGATCCCCGGTACAAAAAAACAAAACAAAACTGCCAGGTATGGTGGCGCACACCTGTGATCTCAGCACTAGGGAGGCTGGGGCAGAAGGATCACCATAAATTCAAGGGCAGCCTGGGCTGCATCAAAAGTTCAAGGCCAGCCTGAACTACACAGCGAGACCTTGTCTCACGAATGCGTGAATGAATGAATGAACGACACTGGCAGGGACAATGAGGAATAAAAGCAGCAAGGGCCAGGGATTTAGCTCAGTGGTTCCTATGCCTGCCTCCCAAGTGCAAGGTCCAGAGTTCAATCCCCGGTAAAAAAAAAAAAAAAAAAAGCAGCAAGTCAAGTTTGAGTCCATTCAGATTGAGCAACCACAGTGTATCCAACTGCTTACAGTACGACACCAGGTCCCATATGGGGACCAGGAAGAAACCAACACTGTCTTCTGTCCCCACTGGTCACAGGCTGCTGCCTGTCCGAGGAAGAAACATGTCACTCTGTGTGATGGGAGCCAGAAGAATCCGGCCTCAATTTAGTCCTAGGGCAGTAAAGAAGCCCCCGGTTTCTCAGCCCCCAGACAAGGCCACTGCCCCTTCCTACCTCTGCAGCCGCGCGCACCCCAGGCAGATGCACTGTGGCCTAGCTACTGGCCGTGGATCACCATGTGGAGACACAGTCACTCAGCCACCAGGGTCCACTAGGGCACTGAGATAACAGACATGGAAAAACCTGTTCCTTCACACCAAGGAGGGCGCCAAGTGTGTGCAGAGAGTAGGCTGCAGCACCCAACCAACAAGGCCACACAGGACAGACACATGTTGCAGGCAGTGGGGGAGGGGGAGAGGGGGAGAACAAGGCAACAGGCCCCGTGAGTGCGAGTGCACGCGTGCGCGCGCACACACACACACACAGAGTCCCTTCTGGAATCAGTCAGCCAGCCAGATATGAAGCTAAATGTGGATCAACAGAATGAGATGGCAAAAGGAGAAAAGATGGGCAGGCACTCAGCAGCTCTCTCTGCACAGAGACAGATCCCCACCCGTGTCTCCTGTTATCTCCCAGCCTGCCAGCTCTCAGATCTTCATTCTAGCATCATCACTCAAATGAACGTGGAGAGCTCATGTTGTTAAAGATTAATAAGTGTTGGATTGCTTCATTCCAATTAGCACTTCAGCTAAGAACAGCTAGACATGGCATGTAAACGGAAGTAACATGCTGAAAGCTGAGCCCTGAAGCGCAAAGATGACCTCACTCCTGGAGGAAGAAGGTGGCGCACTCCTTCAACAGAGCCCCAGAAAGGAGGACTACGAGGCCTAGGCCCAGGGTGCTCAAGTTCCCAGCTGCGTTGAGATGCCTCTTCCCTGATGGGCACTGGGGGCTGCTGACACCTCAGTCCCCCGTGGGACTCCTACTGCATCCAGCAAATGGGACCACTGAGCTTGGGGCAGACCCATCCTGTGCAGACCAGACAAAGGCTCACTCCCCATCCCCTAGCCAGGACACCCGGGGAGATCCACATGTGCTCACTAACTGTCCCGAGTGTGTAGCACAAGGCTCACACTCAATCACCTGTGACAGTCAGAACCCAAAATGCTAAACCGGCATCAGAAGCCCTAGAATGGAGAACACAGGACTAACACACCCTGAGCCCCCCCATACCTCCAACTCTGACTTATTGGGCGCGCGCGCGTGTGTGTGTGTGTGTGTGTGTGTGTGTCTTACTGGAGCTTGAACCTGGGGCCTTCACACTGAGCTGCATCCCCAGTGCTGTTTGCTAACATTTTTCTGAAACAGGTCTCACCATGTGGTTCAGGTTGGCCCTGAACTCACTAAATAGCCCAGGCTGGCCTCAAACTCTCCACAATCCTCCTGCTTCAGCCTCCTGAGTGAGTGAGTGAGTGCTGGGATTACAGGTGTGCACCACCATGCCCAGCTCCAATCCTTTTTATTTATTTTGAGACAGAGTTTAAGTCACTAAGTGCCTAGGCTAGGCTCAAACCTGGATACTCCTGCCTCAGCCTCCCAGAGTGCTGGGACTACAGGCACCATGCTCCCTCCCAGTTCCTACTTCTTCCCTCAGTCTTCAGGCACAACTTACCTTCATGAGTTCGAAGAACTCTCCCGGGGAGGAGAGCACTCTGACGTGAGAGCTGGAGACGCCAAACTCTGGAACCAGGTTCCGGATCCACTGGAACCTATGTACACCCTCTGGACAGAGGCAGCAAGGTGGGGAAGGGACCTGGGGGGCAGCTGGGGACAGCAAGGGAGCCAACAACAGCCATGGTGACCTAGTTAAAGAGACACACAAATGGGTTACCCTCTTCAGAACCTCTACAGACACCTCTCTTGGCTGCCGGGAGAGAAGAGAAGAAATTTGGCCAATTTCTGATTTCTTACAATATTTTAAAAAGTGAGCCGGGCATGGTGGCACACTCCTGTAATCCCAGCACTGGGGAGGCTGAGCCAGGAGGATCACCACAAGTTCAAGGCCAGCCTGGGCTACACAGTGAGTTCAAGGCCAGCCTGAGCTACACAGCAAGATCCTGTCTCAAAGAAAGATAGCCAGATAGGTAGACAGAGACAGGCAGACAGACAGGTGACAGACAGACCAAGCAGGGTGTGGTGTACACATCTGTAATCCCAACACCTGAGAGGCTGAGGCAGGATGACTGCAAGTTCAAACCCAGCCAGGGCAACTCACCCACCCTGATCCACAATTTAGCAAGCCCTGTCTCTAACTGAAGGAAGGTGGGTGCCGCTGTGCGAAAGCCCCAGTTTCCATCCCCAGTACTGAGCAAGGAGGGAGGGAGGCAGGGTGGGAGGAGCCTAAGCCGAGCTCTGCAGCAGGATTTTCCCTTTAGCCCTCTCTCCTCCTAACACCTCAAAGAGCTACTGTTGAGCACCTCCAAAGTGCCAGTGCCAAGGGAGAAATCCCAGACTTTCAGTTAACTCCAAACAACTCAGGGACCAAATTTACAGGAGCCACAACTGAACTCACAAAAGCAGCCACCTGGTTAATACTACCTCCCAGCAAATCTGCCTAAAATAATCACCTGCAGACTCCTAGAAGGGTAGCCCTGGGAAAAGTCTGAGGACTGCTATACAAACCCGCAGCCATATGACTTGTGAGATGAACAAGGTTTTTGTTCAAAGAAGAAATTAGTAAAGCATTTCTTCTTAAAACTCAGATCTAGCCGGGTATGATGGCACATGCCTGAAATTTCAACACTCAGGAGACTGAGGCAGGAGGATCACTGCACGTTCTAGGCCAGCCTGAGCTACACAGTGAGACCCCGTCTCAAAAAAACCCCACAAACTCAGACCTGGCTGGGTGTGGTGGCACACGCCTATAATCCCAGCATTCCAGAGGGCTGAGGCAGGAGGATCAGAGGTTCAAGCCCAGCCTTGGCAACCTAACAACCTAGTGAAACCCTGTCTCCAAATAAAAAAGGGTTGGGGATGTAGCTCACTGCAAGGGCCCTGGGCTCAATCTCCACTACCACAGAAAAGGAAAAACAAAAAAGATTTGAGGGCTGGGGATTTAGCTCAGTGGCACTGTGCCTGACTCACAAGCACAAGGTCCTGAGTTTGATCCCCAGTACAAGAGAAAAAAAGATTTGAAGAGAAAAGTGGAGCAAGAACAGGCTAGGGGAAAGGAGCCATCTGTCTCATGAGATGCTGGTGACCGTGAGGGGCCCCTTCACCACGAGCAGCCGCCACCTGCCTGGAGGCCGCACCCCGCCTCTGGCCAGCACTGACCACACGCTCCTGAGGCGGGAGAGAGCCCCATCTCTGCAGCCCCACACACCCAGCCCTGTGCAAACCCCGCCCTCCTCTGAATTCCGGTCCTGCGAACAGCACCAGGAAAACCCCCTTCAGGTGCCACCTCCGAGGACTCTGGAGAAAGGAGGGCTCAAACACCCTAAGCCCGAGTGGCCACAAATTCCAGGAAGATGATTTCACTGCAGGCCTCATGATAAAGTGCTGAGTCTTCCCAGGGCATGGACGCCAGATGGCCCAGGGCTGTGCTTCCCAGAAAGCCCACCAGTCTGTCCTGGCCACTCACTGCCAAGGACATTTCAGCAATGGTGGAAGGTGCTTGCTCTCCGGGTCCTGGGAAGACTGGACGGAGCAGGCCTCAGCCCGGGCAGAGGTGGGAAACCAGCAGCTCCCAGCCTCCCCCTGGCTGTCTAGTGGGGGTGCGGACACTCATGGGTGACCGCCTGCAGAGGAAAGGCCTGGAATATGAATGAGGGATTGCTACCTCAACTTCCCAAACCATGAGCTACATACTTGCCAGGCCCAAGAGGAGAGGAAGGAGGGCCCTCTGGTGCAGGAGAGACCATGAGACAACAGGAGGGAAAGTCTGCACAGCAACCTGGCTGGCGACGGACATTTGTGAGTGAAGCCTGGTCCATGCACGGCGGCAAGCCCACAGCAGGTCAGCATACGCTGCCTACTGAGGCTTCTCTCGCCTCTCAGAGCTGGGAATGAGCCAGAGCTGCACCTGTGCCCCCTACACCCCTTGGTCAGTCCTCACACAGCCTCCACATGGCCCAGAGCTATAAACCAGCTCCCAAAGAGTAAAGTGAGGAAACACTCCTCAGCACAAGGCAACCAGATGAGGGCGAAGGTCAGGAGGCCTTGCTGGGAGCACCCGCCACAGACCATGGTGATACATGCAGAGCCAGGCAGTCTCCACCTCCACAGCCACGGTTGCCTCACTGATTTACATACCTGGGATTACCTAAGAACAGTATGAGCAGAAATGCTAATATGAATTACATGTCAAAATATACAGAACAGGGCCGGGGATTTAGCTCAATGGTTCTGCTACCTGCCTCACAAGCGCAAGGACCCAAGTTCGATTCCCTGTTCCCCACCCCACCCCCAAAAAATACACACACACACACAAACACACACACACACACACACAGAACATGCTTCAAGTCCCTCAAAGGGGAGCAGGGGAACTCAGAGGGGAGGGGGCTCGGCAAAGAGAACAATGAGAGAACAATGGGCAGATGCACACAGCAGATCTGGCAAGACCAACGCTCAACAGAATTCAGGGGCAGGGCTCAGCAGCGGTCCAGAGGAGACCCGTACAGAGCCCACACAGGTGTCAGTGGCCACCACCCCCATCTGCCTGGGAGCAGGCCGCCCCGGCAGGAAGTGTCCCATGGCCTGAGATCTCAGCAAGGCCCTGCTCCCGGCAGCCTTCCCTGCCAGTGCCTCACCAGGGCCTCAGTTCCAATTGTTGAAGGCATTTTTGTGTTGGCTTCCTGTTTAATCTGTGTACTGATGGGTTTATTTTTGTTAGGAGAAAAGGAGCTGGAAGCCAATTAGGTTTCACTGCTTCATGGTGCCTCGAGAGGCACAGCGTCCCAGCGCCCATTTTCTGCTCTGGGAGAGGAAGGCACTCTGTAAGGCTGCAAGTGTCTCACAACAGACCTGAGAGGAGACCCGAGTGGAGTGAGCCAGGCCGTGGCGGGCTTGCTCAGGCCCATTCTTTCCACTCACCTTACCAGAACCCAGGGCACCTAGCTCCCGGCTTTCCACAGTGCAACCCCTGGGAAGTTTCTCAGAAAAGCTTCATCTCCACACTGACACAGCCCTGCTGCACAGTAACTGTCTCCAGGGGCCGGGTGACCACCTGCGCTGACTCCCCTCACCCCAGGAGGTTATGCAGAAACTACATGTCTGACCAAAAACCAAGCCCCAAGGGATCTGAAGAGACCCAGGCTGTGGTTACCAAAAAGGCGGAGTTCCATGTCACACTTATCATTTAGAGAAGTAACCAGGGCACACACACAATTTCCACATCTAGACCGACTCTCGAGTCATCTCTTTCTAGATACCATCTAGCACCCGTTTCTAGTTATAAGAAGGAGGAAGTGGAAGAGAGGGGCCAGATAACAAGGTTCAGCCAGCCCAGAATTCGGGGAGTGCAGAGAGGGGGTGGGACCGGAGCCATGGGGGGGGGGCCCGGCGCTGAGGAGGTAGTCCTGGGGTGCCAGGGCAGGGAGCTGCCCAGCTTTGTCTGGTAACCTCACCAACAACCTGGACAGACCAACAACGCAAAGCAATCCTAGAGGTGAGACAGGTGAGCATCCTCTGGCAGTCAGCACGCCTGGCTCTGGGTGAAGCTTCAGTCACGCGACTTAAGCCTTCCTGTGCACGCTGCAAATTTCCAGAACCAGGGAATGCACTGGGGAGCCCTGACCTGGGGGCCCACTGCTCCAACCAGAGGGGACTGAGCATGTGGGCCCAGAGAGTCTGAATGGAGGGGGTGCACTGGTACAGAGAGGAAAGCATCTTCCTGCCATCTCAGGGAGGACCCACAGCACATCCCTGTAGTCCCAGGACTCTGAGAGGCTGAGGCAGGAGGATCACAAATTCAAGCTCAGCCTGGTAAGCTTAGTGACTTAATAAGACCCTATCTCAAAACAGAATAAAAACACCTGAGGATGCAGTTCAGTGGCAAGGCCCTGAAGATACAGAGGTCCTGCATCTCATCCCTGAGCCCCGGGATTAGGGCAGCCACCCAGACAGGACAGGGAAGCCCAGGCAGGACAAGGCACCCCCCCATATGCCTCCATGAGAGGGTGGAGACAGGGACGGGCCCTGAGCTCAGAGTAACCATGCGGCTGAGCTGCCATCCAGCACGCCTGTTTACAGAGGGGACCTCGGGGAGAACAGAAGGCATTGGTCCCTTTAGTGGGGAGACCGGAGTTTCCCATCTCACCAAACATTCTGAAGCTCCATGTGTCTCACAGGACACACTGGCGTATCTCACATTTCTTCTCCGGATGTCAACAATGAAGCTGGAGACCCCATGTTCTAAATGAAGGGATGCCAACAGGAGAGGGTGTGAAGCCTAGGGAGGCAGGGAGGGAGGCAGGGAGGGAGGCAGGGAGGGAGGCAGGGAGGGAGGCAGGGAGGGAGGGAGAGGCAGAAGCGGGCAGGCAAACTCCAAGGTTCACCTTGGTCTCCCCTCCACATCCCCTCAGTTTCAGAGGACAGTCTGCCTCCCCTTGAGCCAAGTGCCTGATGACACAATGGCACACAAGCTACACACCAACTTCTTGGGGCTTTTCCCAAATAAGATCTTTGAGGCTTTGAACAAAGAACATGGTGAAGCTGGAGGAGTCTTCAGGCTCCCACAAACCTGCGACAGACAGGAGTCGTATTCTCTGTCTTGCACTCCGGGTATTAACTGTCCCTCGCAGTGGGCTCAGAGCCACAGTCTAAGGGTCCATGAGCTCCACTGAAACTGTAAGCTTCGTGGAACAAACTGTGGTTTGGATCTCATCCAAGTCTGTACAAAACGAGGTAAAAAGAAGTCTTTAAAAGAAACTGAGCTCTCTCTGGATTGTCATAGTTTTCAGAAACTACTTTTTAAGAAAAACCCACCCTGTACCCCTTGCCCTGCCGTCATACATGGTTAAACGTAAAAAGTGAACTGATGAGGGCCAGGGATTTAGCTCCGTGGTTCCACCGCCTGCTTCGCAAGTGCAAGGACCGGAGTTTGATCCCTGGTACCAAAAAAAAAAAAAAAAGTGAACTGATGAGAAAAGAGCAACAGTCATAACACTTCCTGAGAAGGGCTTGAGAAACTACATGAAGGTCCCATACTTCCTGCAACCCATCAGCGGGCGGCCCTTCCTGACTAATGCAAGACCTGAACCCAGTAAGGGAAATGATGTGGATTCCCGGAGGTTACCAAAGCCCAGTGGCTGCTCAACTCCCCCAGTAAGTGCTGCACGGAGGCCTGGGCTGCCAGCTACATGCTGACCCAGTGATTCGACTCTTGCCTTGGCCAACCAGAAGTCAAATACATGGGAGTGGGGGGCAAAAATTTAAAATACATTTATAACCCCCAATACACCCAGGGTAGCCAAATGCACCAGGGACAAAGTGTCTGGTTAAAACCAATCACGTGTTTTACTACTGGAACAGCCTCAGCCAACCTGATTCCTGCTGCCTTGAAATGACTGTTTACATTAATCGGATCACACTATCCACAGAGAGATTATCCAGTTGAACATTTTAATCTCAGGCTGTTTCCATCTGCTTAGGTACACACAACTGATATAGCCCCCCCAAAAAAACCAAAAAAAACCCCAATTGATATAGCCTAACTCATCACCCGCTACAACATGGGTACAGATACTCCTGTTAACATTAACATTTTTAATAAACTACAACTTGAAGCCAGGCATAGTGCTGCATGCCCATAATCCATAATCCCAGCACTCTGAGAGCCTATGGCATGAGGATCATGAATTTGAGCCCAGCCTAGGCAATTTAGGAAGACCCTGGGGCGAGGGTGATAGACCACGGATGGGACATGAACCCATGCTAGGATATAGCTGAATCCAAAGGTCCTGGGTTTAATCCCCAGTACAAGAAAAGGGAGGGGAGGATGTATAATCTAGGGTCTCTCTGGGTCCTTAGCCGGAAGGCTGACTTGCTCCTAGCTCTCTCTTTCCCTACTCCATTCCGCCATCAGCTCCTAGAGGCAGTCTGAATGCCTGTGGGGTCTTAGAACTGCCTGCCACTGCTGTTCACATCACCCCCTCTTTGAGCATGCTCTTGACGCCACCAAGAAGCCTCCCCTCGCTTCCAAGTGCCTCTCCTGGATGCTATCATCACCTTCCATCCTATTTTCCCTGTAACTGTCTGTTCACGGGTCTGAGCATCCTGAAGGCAGGGCTGTGTCTCCCTCCATCTTTGCTTCCTCAGGGCCTGACACAGCAGTGCTCCACACACCATGCATAAGCCAACTATTCAAGGCTCCCTGACAATGAGTCAGATGCTTGCTTGCTTGCTTAAGAGGAAACAGCAGTATTTCAAGATCACTAATTAGAAATGACTGTAAGTAGAGTTCTCGATCTCCAGGCCACTGCTAAGCCTGCAAGGAAACCACAGCAGTAAAAGAACCGTTCCCTGCTAGCCACAAGGATTCACCTGCCCCTTCAAGAGCTGAGTCAGACTGGCGAGCTGAAATCTAAAATAACTTAAGCTCATGACTACAGAGAACTATTATCAATGAATCAATGATCAGAGAGTTACAAGAAAACACATCGTTCAGGGAATGAGGAATTGGGAGGTGCAGCAGAACAACGGAGAAGAAATGAAAGCCAGCAGCCAACAGAGGGTGAGTGGCCACAACAGACATGCATAACTCCAAACACCAAAGTCACAAAGATCCAGAAAATGGCACACGCCTGTAATTCCAGCACTCTGGGAGGCTGAAGCAGAAGGATCGCAAGTTCAAACAAATCTTGGGTAACTTAGTGAATTAGCAAGATCTTCTCAAAATAAAAATTTTTAAAGGGCTGGGTTCAATCCCCAATACCATCAAAACCAAACCAACCAAAAAAAAAAAAATCTGCAAACCAAACAAAGGAGAAGAGTCAGAAACCTATAGGGCTGGGGATTTAGCTCAGTGGTGCTGTGCCTGCCTCAAAAGCGAAAGGTCCTGAGTTCGATCCCCGGTACCTAAAAAAAAAAACCTATGGTATCATTCAATCTTGGTCAGAGCATTTGTTCTCATCCTATATACTTTATTTCCAAAGATTATAAAACAAGAATTTCTGCCCAAGAAACTGAATTTGGCTGGGCATGGAGGCTGGCACATTCCTGTAATCCCAGCACTCGAGAGGTTGAGGAAGGAGGATCACTTCGAGTTCAAGGCTATCCTAAGCTACATAGTGAGACCCTGCCTCAAAAAAAGAAAGAATTAAATAAATAAGAAACTGATTTTTGGGGCCGGGGATTTAGCTCAGTGGCACTGCGCCTGCTTCACAAGTGCAAGGTCCTGAGTTCGATTCCCAGTATCAAAAAAAAAAGAAACTGAATTTCTTCTTGAACTCTTGATTCAAAGAAACAATTCTCAGCTTGGTATAGTAGTACACACCTGTAATCCCAGCACTTGGGAGGTTGAGGAAGGAGATCACCATGAGTTCCAGACCAGGCTGGGCTAGAGAGTGAGCTCAAGGCCAGCCTGGACTACATAGCAAGACCCTGTCTCAAAACTCCACCCCCCCCCCAAAAAAAAATTGTGGTAGGGGATAGGCCAAGATGGGAGAGGGGGTAAAAATGATTAAGATATGATATGTATATCAATTCCCCAAGATGAACATAATTATTATATATTACAAACATATACTTTTTTTTTTCTTTTTGGTTTTTTAAGATAGGGTCTCACTATTTATTTTAGGCTGGCCTTGAATTCACCGTGTAACCCAGGCTGGTCTTGAACTGGTGGTGATCCTCCTAACATATTAATTTTTAAAAAATAATAATTTGTGGAGAGTGCCCTCACCATCCTTGAGGAATCCATTCCAAGGTTCAACAATAATTAATAATGTGTTTTCCATAGGTTAAACACATAGAGGAAAATTACAAAATGGCCTAAACGTCTCATCTTTGAAGGTAGTATATTTTTCAAAACTGTAAACCAAATCTCTCAATGGTTTGATTCCAGGACGAAGACATCATCTGACTGCCCTCCCACTGGAATGAACAGGTCATTGGCTAAGCATCAGTTACCGAAAATGAGGAAGTGCCGGGGATTTAGAGGTGGGGTACAGCTGAGTGATAAGAGTGCTTGCCTAGCTACTGGAGGCCCTGGGTTCAATTTCCAGCATGGAAAAAACATCTAAAATAATGCGACCTCAACTAAACAATGCAATTTCACAACCTTTTTTAAAAGAATCAAGCGTAAGGGTCAAATCTCTCTAATAAGAAAACTACTTGCACACAGAGAACTACCCCCCTCCCTTTAATATTAGCAATAGCAGGAGGCCTCTTAGGTCAGCTTGTCCTTGGCAAATATTTAAAAGACCACTGCCTGAACAAATTGCTTCAAAGCCTACTTCATCATTTACATAACTCACTTCAGTACTTTTCCAGAACACAGGCCCTTTGAAAAGTGTAAGAAGGTTTTCGAGTGGTTCCTCTTCCCATGGCCGAGTGTTACTGACTCAGGATTGCTTCACACCCCACTACGGCAGGATGTGAGAAACGCTGCTGCACACAATCCGAGCAGGGCTGATTCACTCCCGCCAAGTCACCTCCCCGCCAGGATTACTTAAGGAAAAGACTTCTCCCGACCCAAACAGTGCCTCTCGGGTCAGGACTCTCCCCCACTCACATCTTGGGGCTCAAACCAGGAAATACACTTTAGCTCCAAGAGGTTGGCCGACGGCCCCTGAAAGGACTCCCCAGTCCCTTTCACAGCGCTGGGGGACAGTGGCCCGAGCTCGCAGCCTCGCAGCCAAGCGCGGTGGGGAGGGAAACGAGGACGGCCCGGCTGACAGCCGCGCTCGGGCGCCCACTTCCCCTCCGGCAGCCAGCGGCGAAGCCGGGGAGGCCCGGGAGCCGGGGCGCGCGCGGGTCAGGTCCCCTCCAGCCCAGCCGCCGATCGATCTCACCTCCTGCGCCGGCGGTCTCGGTTCCTACCGAGGCGGTCAGACAGGCGCCCCAGGAGGGCGGCTAGTCCCGGGCGGCCAGGCAGGAGGCCCAGCAGCCGCCTCCAAAACACCGGCCCCGCCGCCGCCGCCGCCGCTGCCGCCATGGAGACTCGCCGCTTCCGCTTCCGACGCGCGCGAACTTTATTGAGAACGCAAGCGCGGACACAGCGGCAGCGCGCAGGCGCAGGAGGCCGGGCTGTGGGCTTTGGGCCGACTCGGTACTTCTCCACCTGGGGCTCAGTTTCCCTTTGGTGACACTCAGGCGAGGCTTGGAGGCCCCACTTGAGGGTGAGTGCACTCTGGGCCCTCGTGCCACGGGGCTGCCCCACTCGTCAAGCTGGACTTGATGGGTTGTGTTAGGCTTGTGCAACGTCCCCAAGGTGCTAGAGCTCTTCAGGGCTATGTAACTTGGTGATCGCTGACCAGCACGCTGCACAGATCCATGGAAAGTCCTCGCCAGACTTGGGACTGGGTGTGTGTGTGCATTTTTCACCTTATCAGCCCCAGCACCTGCAGCTCTATGGCACAAAGCGGACTCAACTCATCTCTGTGAGGGGAATGGCGTGCCTGGTACACTCTTGTGCCCCATACAAGACCAGCCCTGGCCCCTGGGAATGCACAGTTCTGTGCCAAATAAGCTGAAGAAACACATGCCCATAAACAAAAACATTTTTTAAGGGTCACCTTTTAAAGGACGGGGCCAGGGAGGTATGTAGCTCAGTAGTAGAGGACTTGCCTAGCATGCAGGAGGCCCTGGTTCTGTACCCAGAAAGAAAAAGAAAAAATGAAAACCTTGCCGTATTTTGACAGGCAGAAGAGATGAACTCTGTTCTGTAATCCTGTTTGGCCCACATAAGCCGGGACTTGGAAACTGGAAAAGCTGTAAAATATAATCATATCCTATCCCTCCCAGGGGTGTTGTGAGATTAAAATGATATGGTCACACTGAAAACAACATTCCAAATTCCACTTCCACCAAATTATCCCAAGGAAATGAATTACACATTCCTACAAGAATGTTTATGTCAGCATTTTTCATGATCTCAAAAGTGGAAGCAGCTCCATAGGGGAGCTGGTTAAATAAACACTGGCAAATAATAATAATAATAATAATAAAATAAACACTGGCATATCAACATATTAGAAGTCTGTACCTCCACAAAAAATGATGTTCTAGAAGAATGTTTTATGACATTACATATAAAAGCCAAATTACTAGCCAGTCCCATGGCACACGCCTGTAATCCCAGCACTCTAGAGATCAAGGCAGGGAGACTGCAAGTTCAAATCCAGCCTGGGATACATAGTGAGAGTCTATCTCAAAAAAGGGGGGGGGGGTTACTTTGTGGTGCACACCTGTAATCCGAACATACTGCAAGAGAGTTGCAAGTTCAAGCCCAACCCGGGCAACTTAATAAGACTGCATCTCAAATTAAAAATAAAAAGGGCTGGGTTGTAGCCCAGGGCGCAGGCCCTGATTTCAATTCCCAGTAATACACACACACACACAGCCAAATTACTAAAGAATAGTGTGCAGATTATCTCATTTTTGTTAAAAATTAGAGTGAGTAACCAGGCATGGTGGCATATACCTGTAATCTCAGCCCTCAGGAGGCTGAGGCAGGAACATCACCACAAGTTCAAGACCAGCCTGAATGACATACATAGTGAGAGTCTGTCTCAAAAAAAAAATTAAAATGAGTACAAACTGCAATACACCAATATTTTTTTTTGGTACTGAGATTGGACCCAGAGAGTTCAGTCTACAGCTAAGCTACATCTCTCAGCCCTTTTTAATTTTTTCATTTTGAGAGCAGGTCTGGCTAAATTGCCCAGCTGGCCTGGAAGTTGTGATCCTCTTGCCTCAAACTCCCTAGTAGCTGAGATTACAAGTGTGCACCACCACACCTAGTTAACATTGATTATTTAGGGCCGGGGATTTAGCTCAGTGGTTTCACCACCTGCTGTGCAAGCGCAAGGACCCAAGTTCGATCCCCAGTACCAAAAATAAAACAAAACAAACATTGATTATTTGATGCTATTTAAGAGTTTCCAAATTGTTTACAATCTATAAATATTTCAGATTGGTTTTAAATTTTCTTTTAAGTAGCCAGGTATAGTGGCACACACCTGTAACCCCAGCACTCCAGAGGCTAAGGCAGGAGGATCGCCATGAGTTCAAAGCCAGCCTGGGCTACATAGCAAGACCCTGTCTCCAAAAAAAAAAAAAGTTTAAAAAATTTTTTTTTCTTTCAAGTTTATATAGTTTTACAAATACTGGGTGGAATTTGATTCAACTCTTCCTAGTTAGAAATGGTGATAGGGCTGGGGATTTAGCTCAGTGGTTCCACTGCCTGCCTTGCAAGCACGAGGTCCCGAGTTTGATAGCTGGTACAAAAAAAAAAAAAAGAAATGGCGAATCATCGAATTTCCTAACTTCCAGTAACAGATGAGACCATCCGTGGCATGATCCACCTCTGCACGGTGCCCATTGCACGGAGCTACAGAGTAAACATTTTCTGAGTGGCTTCTGTGTCGCCTTGAGTGGAGCACCACGTGGCCACGGGAGCACCCTGATCATGCAGAGCAGAGCTGGAAGCTTCTATTTGCCTGTGGTTTGTTTGCTGCTGCATGAAAGGAGCACCATCTCTCTGGGAGTTTCCAATCCACACTAAATTGTAACACGGATAGCGATGTTGACAGCATGATGAGTTAAACCAATAAGTATTTACATTAAGGACCAACAACAAGGAAAAATGCTGGGTGTGGTGGTGCATACCTGTAATCTTAGCACTGGGGAGGCTGAGACAGGAGGGTCGCCACAAGTGTGAGGCCAGCCCAAGCTACACAGTGAGTTTACGGCCAGCCTGAACCCTGTCTCAAAAAAACAAACCCACAAAAAACAAGAAGGAATGACCCAGGTCCTGTGACACCACCAGCCTGTAGTCTTCAGAGATAGTCTGAAATAGGCAGAGCTATAACTAAAGTGAAGTAACCTTGGCCTTGGCCTTGGATACACACATCTAGAGGTTGCCAAAATTTAGATAATGGCTTTCAGAGGCTGAACTCTTGTTTTGTTTTTTAGACAAGGTCTCACTGTGTAGTCCAGGCTAGCCTTGAATTTACTGTGTAGCCCAGGCTGGCCTCAAACTCATAGCGATCCTCCTGCCTCAGCCTCCTGAGTGCTGGGACTATAGGTATACTCCACCACAACCAGCCATTCTCTCTGCCATCAGCTGGATGGTAAGAACAAGTAGGAGACTAGACACTGGCACATAACAGAGGGGACTGAGGGAGCTCCCTGGAAACATTCCTGTCCCCCGTAGCTGTGGGGAGGGCTCGCTGTCTGGGGAGGACCCCTCACACTGACAGGTTCCTGCATACACATCCTGAGGGTCCCAGACCAGCAGGCAACTCATCTCCGAGACCTGGTGACTGGGAGGTCCATCTTCCTGGTCCTGCTCACCCTCCTGCCCCACCCCCTACCTTCTGGCTAGCCCCCTCTCTCTTTCCCAAACAGGAGGTGCCAGGTTGAGAAAGATGGGGCGATAGGACTGATGACAGACACAATGTCTTCCCAAACGGAAAAGGAAACCCATTCTTCAGGAGCAGAGTTGACGTCAGGGAGTGGGGGCCACTGCTCTGAAGAGCACTCTGCCCTCCCAGGCAGGAAGCACCAGGAAATCCTGAGCTGAGGGCCTGTGCCTCGCTGTCTGTGATTCACTCTGTGAACTGAAAACCATGCCGATGCCAGAGAAAGATGGCTCCTCCCCCAGGTTTCTTGGGAGCAAGGGTCTTGCCCAAACATAGAGCTGCTAGCAAATTTGAGAGGAAGATGGAGTGGCCAGTGCCAGCAGCATGCCCAGCACTAGGCTCCAGGCCCAGCTCCCAAGCACTGGGGAGGCTGAGGCAGGAGGATTGCTCCAAGTTCGAGGCCAGCCTTGGCTACACAGTGAGTTCAGGCCACCCTGGACTACATAGTGAGACCCTGTCTCAAAAACCAAACCAAACCAAACCAAACAAACAAACAAACAAAAACCCTCGGAAAATAGCCTGTGTTTTGTCTTTCTCTACTTTCGTTTCAGATCAACCTGATGAATCCTGCTATTAGATTCTTATTTTGAGGGGGGCCTTTGCACTGAGCTACATCTTCAGCCCATTTATTTATTCATTTATAAGGTAAGACCTCACTAAATTGCCTAGGCTGGGCTCAAACTTACAATTCTCCAGCCTCAGCCTCCCAGAGTGCTGGGATTACAGATGTGTGCCACCACACCCAGCTTAGGGTCCTGGGGTTTTTTTTGTTTTTTGGGGGGTTTTTTGGTAATGCAGATCAAACTCGGATCTTTGCCCTTTCCAGGCAGGCTCCAGAACCACTGAGCTAAATCCCCGGCCCAGAATCCCATTTTAATAATCACACACACACACACACACACACACACACACACACACACACACACTCCTGGTGCTCGGCTCAGTATCTCACACTTGAAATCCCAGCTACCTGGGAGGCTAGGCAGGCAGATCACAATTGAGACCAGCCTGGCAACTTATTTACAGAGACCTCGTCTCAAAATAAAATATAATAGGGGCTGGGGATTTAGCTTAGTGGCACCACGCCTGCCTCACAAATGCAAGGTCCTGAGTTTGATCCTCTGTACTGCAAAAAAGAAATAATAGGGCCAGGGATTTAGCTCAGTGGTTTCGGTGCCTGCCTCGCAAGCGCAAGGTCCCGAGTTCAATCCCCGGTACTAAAAAAAACAAAAAACAAAAAACAAAACAACAAAAAAAGAAATAATAAAATATAATAAAAAGCTAGAAACCAGGCATTATGACACACACCTGTAATCTCAGTATTCTGGGAGGCTGAAGCAGGAGGATCAAAAGTTGGAGCCCAGCCTGGACAACCTAGGAATTTAGCAAGGCTCTGTCTCAGAATAGAAAATTAAAAAGGGCTGAAAAAACCAAAAGGGGGTGCTGGGGATATAGCTCAGTGCAAAGGCCCTGGGTTCAATCCCTCATACTAAAAAATAATAACAACTTTTAAAAAGAGCTGTGGCTCAGTGGTAGAGTAATTGCCTAGCATGTGGGAGGCCCTAGGTTTGATCCCTAGCACTGCAAAAGAT